TATATAAAATGTCGGCATGCAAGGAAACTGGAAATGTATAGGAACATCTGTTTCACTTTCAACTATACTGTAAATTGAAATTTTTAATTCAAACTTAAGCTTTCAAAACTGCTGTACAAGATATATTGAGTAATCTTTCATTTGAAAAGAAAACAGGAGGAAATTGAGAAATGCAACCTTGACTGGCTAGGGGCCATAGCCGTCCACTGTCAGGTGTCAGGAGGCGGGATCCGGGAACTCCTGCCCCCATTTCCAGGTGAAACAACTAATAAAATTTTGAGTATGCCAGTAGAATATGATACCCTAGTCAAGCAGTAACAATAACAATGTTCTATGCATACCACGTGTAGAAAATCACACCCCTTTAATGACAGCATAGTATTTTTGCAGATAGAGCAAAGCATCTTTTCTATGGACTATTAGAAAGACTGGGGAGAAATTAAGAAAGGTTCCCATGTTTCCTAGACCTGTGAGAGGGTTTCTATGAACTTACAAAGTTATCATGTGTAGGGGAGCAGTCTCACAGTGTGTGATTACTAAAAGTAAAGCCAGGACCAAGGTTTAAGGTTGGACATGGATGAGACAGATGCTGGGGCTCAATATGTGCCATCTGACGATCTATGTCAGAAGATAAGGTGGAGAGTTCTGGTGACATTATGGGATACACTACGAATACGAATTCTCCACGTCCAGTTTCCCAGAAGACAGCTCCTTCTGGTGCCAGTGGTAAGGATACCTTTTGTATGCTAACAAGATAACCAGTAGCTGGGGGACCCTGCATAGCAGCTGTAGGACTGAGTCTGATTGCTGGAGACACAAACACAAGATTAGATGGGTGGTCTATTCAGTCAGACCTCCACCCTCAAGCAGGGCAGAGGAGCTGAAGGTTGAGTTGATCATGAATGTCTAATGATAAAAATTGTGCCTGTGTAATAAAGCTGTATTAAAAACCCAAAGGATGGGGTCAAGGAAGCTCTCTGAGAGCTGCATGTGTGGAGGTATATGGAAGCTAGTTCATTTAAGGGGATTATAGCTGCTCTCATCCCCTTTGCGTGCACTTTGCCCTGCATAGCTCTCTTTCTGCCATTGGCACCCTTTGAAATTCCTTTGTAAGAAACAGCAGATCATAAATGAGACATTTGCCTGAATTCTATCATGTACTCTAACAAGTTAATTGAGCTTCAGGAGGCTGTCCTGGGAACTCCAATTTATAGTCAGTTAGTCAGAAACACGCAGATGACAATCTTCAGCTTGTGACTGGCATCTAAAGTGGGGAGGCAGCCGTATGAGACCTCACCTTCAATCTGGGAAATATAATATTACCTCCAGGCAGACAGTGTCAGGATTGAATTGAGTGAGAGTTGGGGGAAAAGCTCCCACACATCTGGAGTCAGTGTCGTATTTAAAGAAGAGTGAGCAGGAAATACACATCTCCAGCTCCCTCTGGCCCAGATGTTTAAACAGAAGTTTAAGGAATGTGGGTATGTGAGTCACATAACCTCCAAGATGCCTACCAATGGCAAGATCCTCTTGTTCCCTACTGAAGGAAAGGAGCTCAGACCTGAAGACCTCGTAGGATATCTCCCCTGGAGACATTAGGAAGAAGCTAGAGCACCTGCACCATCCAGTAAGACCAAAGAAAATGGTCTGTCTATGACTTTGAAATTGCATCTACCTGCTAGATAGGCTGCTTAAGGGCTATTGGCAAAGCAGAGACCAGGACAAAAAAAGACTGGGCCACATCAGAACAGAGCACCCAGCTGTGTGTGGTGAGTCACACCAGCAATCCCAGCACCTGATAAACTGAGGAAGAAAGATTGCTAGCTCAAAGTTAGCCTGGGCTACATGGTGAGACCCTATCTTGAAAGATCAGAAAGCCATGGGAGAAGGCTCAGTCAGTAAATCATTGTCATGGAAGCATGAGGACCAGAGTTCAATCCCCAGAGCCTATGTAAAGGCCAGGAATGGCACTGAACAACTGTAATCCCAGTGCTAAGGTAAGAGGCTTGCTAGCAAGCCAGTCTGGCTGAATTGGCAAGCTCCAAGTTCAGAAAGAGGTGCTGTTTCAAAAAGCAAGGTAGAAATTATGGAAGATGCCCAACAATCAACCAACCCCTGGGCTCTAATCAAACACACACACACACACACACACACACACACACACAGGGAAAAAAAACACTGCAGAAATCATCATGGATTCTTAGTGCTGAAAGGGACAGCAGGAGTCTCCCTGAACCACCCTCCTTCTCAAACACTGGCAACACTAAGCAGATCTGTTTCTTAAGGACTTGTTCAGTGACTGATCCTCCATCCTGTCATCTTAATCGTTTTGTGTGTGCATATATGTGTGCATGTGGGTGTGGGTGTTGTCTAAGTGTATACACGTGTGCCTGCTTGTGTGTGTACATATATGTGTATATGAGTGTGGTTGCTTGTGTGTGTGCATATATGTGTACATGTGGGTGCCTGTTTGTGTGTGTACACATGTAAAGGTCAGAGGTCAGTCTCAAGTGTCATTCTCAAGGGTCACTCATCTTGTTTTCTGAAGCATGGCCTGGACTAGATTGCCTTGCCATTCAGCCCCAGGAATCCATCTTTGTCTCTCCGGTGCTGTGACTACAAACTTGAGTCAACACAGCTCGCTTTTTTACATGGCTTGGGAATCAATCTCGGGTCCTCAGGCTTGCACAACAAGCAGTTTACTGACTGAGCAGTCCCTATAGGTCACGTTAATGTTTTCTCAATGACCTTGGTGAAGACAAAAAAGGTAAGAGGCACAAATCAGGCAGGACGTGCCCATGTGGCAGCTAGAATTCTCTATGTTGAGAAGAGTTTTGGCATTACAACATGGGCAGAAAAGTTTAGGCTCCAAATTTGACTGTGGTTGTATGAAATGGGGTCTTTTAATGGAGGTACATGTAAGGCTACAGGTGAAGATGGAGTCAGTGGGATCCAAAAAAGATACACTTGAGTGAGGTAAGGTGTATAACATGCAGTTAGGGCAGAGCTTTTAGAATAATTTTATATGGTGAGCTTTAGGAGATCCTGACCAGAGGGAGAGAGAGAGAGAGAGAGAGAGAGAGAGAGAGAGAGAGAGAGAGAGAGAGAGAGAGAGAGAGAGAGAGAGAGAACAGCAAGCACACTAAGGGGAATAATTAACTTTAAAATGACAGCTAAGGAAACATCAACCAAGAAAATAAGACTAAGGAAGATACAAAAGTCATATCAAGGTTACAGATTTATTATTGAGGGTGAAATGACAGGACTGTGGCTTAACAGGGGGCACAGCTGTGTCCAGCAGTGCTGCAGACTGGACTGCCTTTATGAGGAATGAACTGATGACTTGTCTCTGCATGGAGGACTACTGGGAACATCTACAGTTTTTTTACATTGATCAATCAAACTCAAGGATTATCAGCAACTGCATGCTTCACTCTCTTTCTCTCTTCCTCCTGCTTCCCTTGTTTTATTTTGTGTGTGTGTGTGCATGTGTGTGGGTGTGTGTGTGTGTGTGTGTGGTGCAGTGTCTGTGCATGGGAGGTATCCATGTGACTTTGTGTGTGTGTGTGTGTGTGTGTGTGTGTGTGTGGTGCAGTGTCTGTGCATGGGAGGTATCCATGTGACTTTGTGTGTGCGTGTGTGTGTGTGTGTGTGTGTGTGTGTGTGTACGTGTGTGTGGTGCAGTGTCTGTGCATGGGAGGTATCCATGTGACTGTGTGTGTGTGCCCGTGTGTCTGTGTGTGTTTGTGTGCACGTGTGTGTGTGTCTGTGTGTGTTGCAGTGTCTGTGCATGGGGAGTATCCATGTGACTTTGCTCATTTGCACCACAGTTTCATTTTATTCCCAGCCTTTAATGCTTGAGGTGTATAGTAAGTGTGCATGTGGGGTCCAAGAGCATGCGGATGCCCAGGGTTGAGTCTAAGAATTATCCTTTATCATCCCTCTATCTTATGCATTGAGTCAGAGTTTTTAGTCAAACCCAGAGCTCATAATATGGTTACTAATGCTAGCCTGCTTCCTCTAGAGACTCTGACTCCATCTTCTGAGACTATAATTACAGGTGGGCCACTGCACCCACCCAACATTTACATAGGTGCTGGGGATACAAACCAAATCCCTTACACTTGTGTGGCAAACACTTTAAACCACATGGTAAAAATGAGTGACACTACCCATGGCATCTCACAGACTCTTGAGAGAAGACAAACCCTGCCCTGTGGAGCTACCACCCTGGAAACTTGACTCTCTGAAACATACTCTGTAAAATCTTTGCACTCTCTCTGTATCTCCTACCTTTTACTTCCCCTGAAGTCACGATGGGATGAAGGCTGCTGGGTGAGAAAGAAAAACAAAAAAAATGTTCTAGTTTCTTTGTGACATAAGTCACTGAACCTCAGGCAAATCCCAGCACTCGTCAGGTAGACAAGGAAGCAATGCTTGGAGAAATTCAGTGATTGCAGCAGCCTGCACAGCTGGTTCAATCCGCCATCTCCATAGATAATACAGTATTGCTACATATTATGGAAGCCTAGTTGGCAGGCATTCAAGCTGCATGAAGTGCAATTCCCCCACTCCGTAGGTTTGAGCTTATAAACTGCCTCAGCCAACGGGATATTATCAAACACGGTGCCAGCGGAGGCCAGAAGTGTGCTTTTGTAGTGGAACATGCTTCCCTACACTTTCATGATTGGCAGGAGATCATTCCTTTCAGCCACTGCTCCTCTAACCTGAATGCCAGAGCAAATCACGGAAGACCTGAACCTTATCTATGCCTGGAGCTTAACTCAATGGAGGTCAACAGACTCCAGCCTGAAGGGAACACCCAGATGCTTCTAAATGTACTGAGTGTGTGTTTTCGGTTGTATGCCATGGAAGTCAGGTAAGATTTGTTATGCACCATTATCATGGCAATAGCTCACTAATAAGAGCTTAAAAAGAAAGTTGTTGGGATGCACAGGACTGCCTTGCCAAGGAGCACCTGCCCAACAAGCAGCACTCACCTGAGTCTGAGGCTGCTGGGCTCACCAGGCTCAGCAGCTCCCGCTCCTTCTCATAGTCCCCTTTGCAGAGCAGCTGGCCCTCCTTCAGGACAAACTCATCCCCCTTCTGCAGCTGTCGCTCACAGACACAGCAGCAAAAGCAGCTCAGGTGGTACACGCTCTTCTGGGCGCGCATGACAAACTCGTTGGGGGCAATGGCTTCGAAGCAGCCCCCACATTTGACAGCAAACAGTCTACAAGTAGGAGAGAAAGAAAAGCAATGAGCATAAGGTTGGGTCTGGACCTAGGTTTCCCCTCCATCTAATGATAGCTGTAGGATGCATTCATTATAGCATTCATTTACTGTTTTTAAAAGGAAGAGTTGTTTTCTTTTTTAATAGTAGCACAATTGCAGGGGCAGAAGGAGTCCTTCCAAAACATTCTCTGTTTGTCCCTGAATTCCAGAGGATCTGACAGATACAGGCAGGTCAGATGACACACGGGAGGGGGGCAGACCTGATCCTCTCTCCACAAAGACAGATAGGAGCTGACACAAAGTATATTTAGGAACCTGACGCCAATTTGTTCTGCTAATACGTCCCACTTTGTCAGGAATGACGGAAACATAAACAACTGAAGAGTGTTTTCCTATAGACAAGCCATCTACAACACTGGCCTTTGCCTGTTCCTATGTCAATCAGGCATTCTCCTTTTCATTCATATATTTTCATTAACTCAGAATATCTACTGCATGCCCTGGGATACACTATCTACTGTGTGTCTTAACAGAGAACGGAGAAAAAGAAACCACATCCCAACTGTATCCACACATGGAGTCAAGTATCGAGTGTGTGTGTGTGACAGAGAGAGGGGCAGGGGAGAGACAGGCAGACAGACAGACAGACAGAGAGGCATTGCTGCAGACACAACAGTATACAAGACAAATCCATCGTATGGAGCTCGAATGCTTGTGGAAGAACATAAATAAGACTAGGAAGATGATTCAGTGGGGAAAGGTCCTTGTCATGCAAACCTGACAACCTGAATTCAAACCCCAATGCCCACTTAAAAGATGTAGGGAGAAACTGACATCATAAAGTTGACCTCTGACACCCACATGTGTGCTGCAGTGGCACTTTAAAAAGAACAATGCAGAGGTACCCTGTGACTACAAAATATTCCAACACAAAGTCATAGGATATATCAGAAATTACAATATTCAAACACTTCCCAACCATGAAATTGTACTCGCTAGGTTATAAGGCAATCCCCTCACACCGTGTGTTTGTCTTGGAATCTTCCTAAAGAAGGGAAGGGTTGGAAGGCAGAGGGAAGAGGAAGCTTGGGAAGAGTTCCCAATGAGGCACGGCACACAGATTGGCACAGGAGAGAGGAAAGACATTTAAGCTCTGAGTGGAGGAAGCCAATGCTTGAAAAAGAGAATGAGGTCACCTGCCATGAATCCCAGAACCACCCACAGACAGCCTTAGGACAGGAACTAGCGTGTCTCTCCCTCAGTCATCAGGAGACTCTGTGAAGCAGCTAACTTCCTATGCACCCTCTCTGCCCTTCAACCTCAGCACTGGAGTAAAGTTGAGGACCCACCCACATGGCTGCCGCTGCCCTCTCACCACTAATAGCCTCCACACCCAGGACTCCAAGGACCAGAAGCCCTTTCCTTCCCCCCTTCCTCCAGTTGCTCGCTAGCTGCGGTTTTCCTGACTGTTACTGGAGTCCCTCCAATATTTTCTTTCACACTGTCTCCCCTTGTTAGATGTCACGTGCTGTGCAGAAATCTACCTAGTTCATCCCTCGGCCTCCCAAGTCCCCAGTCTCTGTTTACCAACCTGAGCAAACTAATCAATGCTTTTCCAGGAGCCGGTCAAAGGCCTTTTGTCCCCAAGCCTCGCTTCTGTTCCCCATCCCCTGAAATGGACTGTTAAGCAGACTCAAGGCAAATGTTCCCAGGGAGTCAACAAACACTTAAGGAGCATAACAGCCGGTGGTAGCCTCTGTGCTTGTCTGCCTTCTAGCCTGTTAATCTTTTCCTCCTTTTGCTTTCCCCTTAAAAAATTTTCCCTTACTCCATAAATTTCCCCACATGTTAGAGAAGGGAGGGCCAGAGTGAGCTCAACCAAGACAGTCCACCATGTTGACTCAGGCGCGTTGCTGGAAGTGGCAGCAGTTGTACAGGCTCAAATCCCGAAGTCATCATGTTCCCCCAAGGACTGCAGGTCCAAAGAGGCAGGCCTGATTCCTTCCATTCTCCCTCCCTGGATCCTAACCAGGTCAACTCACCTTACTCCCTCATCTCTTGTAACCTTCAAGAGCAATTCAAGAAGACGGTCGTGCCACCTACCACCTGGGTGCCAGATGTGTACACAGCTGCACGGGTCCCACTGTGGACCCAGCTGCTGGCTGCACAGCCTCCCATAAGTTGTTTTCTCTAAGGCTCAGAGAAGCAGAGAAAAGGATTTGTTCAAAAGTCCAGGTCATAATTAAAACACAGCCTGTCTCTTCCCAGGGCTTGAGATGTGTCCCCCATGGTTACTTCCCCCCTGAATGCTAATGAGACCTCACTCTGGGTTCAGAGTCTGCCAGGCTGCTGTACCTGGGAAAGCTGGGCAATATTTCCAGAACTGTCAGATCACCTATGTAGACAACTCCAGTCTTTCTCAGCATCCTAAGTCAGCCCCACCCCCACCCCTGCCCCATCTTTCTGATGCCTTTGGGCTCATCCCTGATCTCTTCCCTGTATCACTCTCACTTGTAAAATGGAGATAGAGCATCTTCCTTGTAAAAAAGCATCCTGTACAACATGGTCCCAGGTAGTATAAGCCCTTCGTATTCCCCTCCCCTACAGATGACCCTCTGAGAGGACAGTGAGGAGGGATGGTGTAACAAATGAATCTGCCTTTGTCTTTAGGAAGCTACAGTGGTCAGGAGGCCTGAGCTGGCTAGATTTGTGTCAATGTGACACAAACATCCTATCGGAGAGAGGGGAAACCTCAATTGAGAAAATGCCTCCATAACATTGAGCCAAGGGCCAACCTATAGAGAATTTTCTTAATTAGTGATTGATGTGGGAGGGCCCAACCCACGGTGGGTGGTGCCATCCCTAGGCTGGTGGTCCTGGGTTCTATAACAAAGCAGGCTGAGCAAGCCCTGGGGAGCAAGTCAGTAAGCAGCTCCCCTCCATAGCCTCTGCATCAACTCCTGCCTCCAAGTTCCTGTTCTGTCTGAGTTCCTGTCCTGACTTCCTTCAATGATAAACAGCAATATGGAAATGTGAGCCAAATAAACCCATTCCTCTCCAACTCTTTTTTGTTTTGTTTTTTTTGGTATTTTTGTTGGGGTTTTTTGTTGTTGTTGTTTTGGTTTGGTTTGGTTTTTGTCATGGTGTTTCATCACAACAATAGAAGCCTTAACTAAGGCAAAGATCTAAAGCAGTGTTTCTCGACCTTTCTAATGCTGTGTCCCTTTAATACTTCTTCATGTTGTGGCAACCCCCAACCATAAAATCTTCTTCATTGTTGCTTCACAACTGTAATTTCACTACTGTTATAATCATAATGTAAATATCTGATATGCAGGATATCTGATATGCAGCCTCTGTGAAAGGTCATTCTAACCTCCAAAGGGGCCATGATCCAGAGGTTGAGAATCACTGCTCTATCTGAATGGCTACAATCGGATGTGGTTGGGACATGTACAGAGAAATAACAGAGAAGGACACAGACAATTGACTGAGGCCACTGGTCACTGAATCTTTCATCTCTTTCCTGCCTCACTATACCTATTGCTGTCTTTCCCCCATGCTTTTCCAGGCAGGGAAATACAGGGCTGTAACTTCCTTCCGTGCCCTGCTTACATCTTCTTGTACAGCTAAAAGCTACAAGAGGCCCAACTGCAAGTCTTGTTGAAAGTCTTCTCCGTAGGCTCGGCCATATCCTAACGACGTGACTTACTTCTCAGTGACTCTTGCAGCCTCCGTTTGCACAGGGGGCAAGCGCAAGCATGATGCCTACATCCTTCAGCAAGGAAGGATTAAATAAGATGTGTGCAGGGGGTGCTTTGTCACCTTTAATGCACAGGGAATTCTTAGCCATTTTTATTGGCCGTGCGTCTGCCTTTTACATACGTAGATATTTACTTCTTGCCCCAAAGGTGAGTTTTCATGCTTAAAAGCTTTCAGAGCCCCCATTCTAAGACAGCCCTTCTTCCAATGTGAGCTCTTCTACTGACTCCTAGATTTGACTTCATCTCTGTTCATGGTGTGTCAGGTGGAGCTTGTTTCTCAGGCCCACTGATGATGGCCCTATCATTCTCCAAGTTCATCCACACAGATCTTTATTTCTTGTTGCTGGCTTGGTCTCTGTATCCTGTGCTTGGAGCCACAGCAGAAAGCAAAGGGGGAAAAGAACTTATTAACCCAGGGAAAGAGTCCAGCTGACCTGATCCCAGGGTCTTATCTTTACCAATGGGTTGAAAGAAGTCGCACCAGTCCCTGGGCCTTGAGTTTCTTGTCTTTCATTTCGTAAAGGTAAGTTCTGCCCTAAACACCACATAATGCCCAAAACTTAGAGGCGGGGAAGGAATAGGAAAATAGGCCGCTATTCCTCACGTCCTCTCATTGCCCAATTCTCAGCCAGAGAAGCCTGTATCTAAATCCTAATCTCCAGACGGTGTTTCAACAGGGTACTGCTTGCCCATGGTAATCCTTCAAAACATCTTTTTAGAGAGTATCCTTTACATTTGTCACATACGTGCGAGCACACACACACACACACATGCACGCACGCACGCACGCATGCACACACACACACACGCACGCACGCACACACAGCTGTTAAATCAAAAACATATACCCTAGATAAGTAAATTCTAGACTGTATGTATTATACAATCTATTTATTTAAAAATACTAAGACTGTATTATTATATATCCTAGAAAAAATGTCTTCTGGAAAATAATATTTTACTTCTGAGCCACGTTTAAAATCCACTAAGCTACATAGTCTCTTAATTCATCCCCACTTCTGCCTTGTCTTGTAACTATGGAGACAAGAGCATCTCAAACACAGCTATAAAGGCTAGACACTGAAGCACTACTAAGAAGCAAGTCAGAAGCAACCAACGAAGAGTCAGAGAACGTCAGAAGTGTACCCTAGCCCTGCAAGAATCACAGTAATAAAGTGGTGGCCTGACAAGACGTTAGGCAACACTTGGATACAAGTGCCTGCTGTGTGCTCTT